TCTATTCACAAACGCCGCGATCATTTTTCGCGACAATTACCTCTGGCAATTACTGAAAACGGCTTACAGTGTGTTAATGCGATTATCGACCACGAGGTCGTAGCACGGTGAGGGTTGTTAAAAGGATTTCAGGGGATACCAGGTATAACCCACAGGCACCTTTTGCCGCCCAATATACAAGCGCACGAACATGCTTGCTACGTAAAGAAAACTACCTCCTGCTTCAGACACCCTGCATTAAGGCAAATGCCGTAAATTGTTAATAACCAAACACAAACTACATAAAAGAGATAAAAGAAACGAGACATAAAACGATAAAACGAAGAACGTGAACGAAGTCGATGAGCGGCGACGAGTTCGATTTAATCCCCCCTCGGTCATTCTCACGAATCGACCATCCATAATCCCGCAATAATTGCATTACCATTGTTGCTTTATGGGCACAGAGTTGTGTTCGGATAATTGCAAAATTCGATATCACAATTAGGAGTCAATTAACACGACGACCATGCGTATCAATCAAGCGAGGAGAACTTTGAATGATTCAACGCGTACAATGCAATTTCCCCCAAGTTTTTTTCTCTCTTTTGTCGTCTTCAGACGATATTCTGTGCGATCCAATTAATAATTTAACAATCGCGTTAAATATTGCTACATGAAATCATGTGGCGGGACGACAGTATTAACCAGCGATTCACGAAATAATGATTATATCCCTCGATTACTATATTTTATATTTTAACCGCGAATTATGATAAATTATGCTGGTATTCGCGAAACGTATATCTCTTACGGCAATTACCCAATTGCTCAAATCAAAGAATCGCGCAGAGCCCCGTGTAAAACCGATGTCGACGGTTATGATTTCGAGTACACGCCGATAAGATGATCGCCGATTCTCAAACCATCCCGCGGTAAAATGAGGACGTGATGCGTGGGCGGAAGCGCCGATCGATCGCGCAACGGCGATTTTAATGAAGAGCAGACCGAGCATCAAAGGCAGCCGCGGCGATAATAATTTATTCCGTGCTATCGATACGCACGGGGACGGAGAGAAGGAAGGATCATCCCGCGCGAGAAAATTAAAATTCTCTGGAAACCGGCTGCTATCTCTCTTCCTCCCGACTCTCGCAATTCGACGCAAATGAGCATCGAGAGAGATTTCAATAGCGCTTGCAAATCGGACGTGGATATTACGAATTTTTCGTTAAATCTTTATCCCGTCATTAATGAGAAAAATATGGTGGATTCTATCATGCTCCGTCCTTCTCTCTCCCCGAGCGTATCGATATGGGCAAAATTACCGCGACGATGCGACGACAGAGAGAAAGAGAAACAGGACGACGATCGAGACTTCTCTGTACACTCGGGAACTTCCGATCACTGGGTGCGATCAGTGAATTTGATATTTTATTAAGATATATGATTCTGAAACAAATTAATTTCTTTCGATATATTATAATTGCTATATTTAATCTCTCTTTCGCGGTCCGCACAAGAGGAAATTCGCGCGTCCGCGAAGCATATTTTACGGGAATCTTTGAAATATTGTCGAAACGTTTTACGCACACGTTCATTTAACTGTTAGTTTTATTCTCTAGACTACGGGATGTATCGATACCAAAAATATAGCTGAATTAATTAACGTAATTAATTAATAATAACTCACAGAGATTTGTTACCGATGATATTGTTATGCTGCGTATAATGAATAGTCGCCTTCCGGATGAAAGCAACGCAAATTAATTGCACTGAATGTATGTAATTGATCAAAAATATTTTCCTTTTTTCTCCTGAGCGAGACCTTTCAATATTAATCAAACTTAGCAATTACGGTTCGCGAGTTCATTTGCTAACAAACCGAGTCGAGAGCTATGAAATCAATTATAAAACTTTTCCTCTCCGGAATAACCTTGTTCGCGTCTCCTCTTTCTCCTTTCCTCTCTGACCGCGCATTTCTCGATCGATACTTCGCCTCAACGTATCGTCCTTTATCAAATGATACGTACAAATAACATAATATTAGCCCGTATTCATATCCTTTCTGTTACTGCATTTAACACTAAGTACCAGGTTCGCTTTGTCTAACAGAAAAAGACTGCGCTATGAACACGGGCTGATAACGAAAGAGATAATAAACGATAAATGGCAGGAGTCTGAAGAGTACTTTGGTGATGAATAGACATCCGTCTATCCTCGCGATAGACAGAGAGATCGACCGCTCCACGGATAAAAACGGCGAATGTAAACGACGGCGCGATCGAAAACAGGAAAATCGCGAAGGATCGTCTGTAAAATAATTGGACTGAAATTTTTATCGCGAGTCCGACGTTTACGCGTCGTATCGCAGCACGCTGGCGGGTAATACGAGAAATTTCTAATTATCGAGTACAGAGGTGGAAAACGCGAATGGAGCGAGAACGCGTCGGATGCGGAAATATTCCGTGGAACAGTCGAACGGTCTATCGCGCGATCCACGCGACCAACGCGCGAGATCAAAGGACGAGAGAGAGAGTCCGAGGATAAACCGTGGCGTAACTAGGTGAAAAGCGCGTATCCCCCCCCCCCCTTGCTCTGTGCGTCCGCTGATGATAAGTAAAAATTTGTGACCCTATTGAATCATTAATCTATAATCTATATCGCGTGTATCTACGATGCTGAAGAATCTCGTCTATATTTCATACTTC